TCGTAATGCTTTTTACACAATCAGGGATCAATACGGAGATTCAATCTATGGTTGTTATGGAAACTGACGTGATTCATAACATTTTTGTGGTTTCTTAGAAGCTTCAAGTGACGAAAGGAGGGTCAAGCGGGGTATGCCTTTTCGTCAAATTGACGAATGACAATATGTTGCTTGTACTTATATATGGTTTTTCGTGATAGAAGAGCCAGTGGGAGAGAGAAGGGATCAAGAGCAAGATGCTTGAATTAGATCAAAAGTATCACTGTTTATATCTCACGTGACATAAGAAAATTTCGCATACCGCCTCCTTACATCTGAAAGAGCAACCTTAGTGTCAAGCTTGTGAATACATAAACTGTCTAGTAATGGACACAGAAATCGTTCAACGTTCAACGAATTCGTATCAACTCATGTCGCCGTCCTCCGCAAAGTTATGTTGCTGTAATTTGATTTTGGTACAGAACGAGACAGCGGCTGGCGTATTTAGATGCATATGTGAAGCTGTAGCTGTTCTCTATAATCTCTCTGTTGTTGTATGCTCTTATCTGCAATTAACTTAGTAAGGTGCTTTTGCTTTTTGGGTCGATCCACCGTGGCTTTTGTCACGAGCCTCCGCACGCAGCGTAGCTTCCCACAGCTTTTTTTGTCATTTTCTTGTGGATGGTGACCAGCAGAGGAAGAATAGACACTCTACTGCTATGTCGACGAATACATCCCTTCACAATTTTGAAATGCCACAGGCTGGTAGCTTACGAACATCTCTGCAGTTATCTGAGAACTTCGGAGAAACTGAACCCCATCGCGCTATGAGAGCTGCCTATAAAGACGACCCATCACGCATATTCATAATATCTGGAGATATTAAAATTTCCTACAAAGATGCATGGAGGCGGATAATACGCCTTGGCCAGCTCATCGACGCTGAATTAACCAAACTGGGTAATTGCAGAAATTTACGTTTCGCGCTCACTTTCACACCCTCATCGTTACCTAGGGAGATATGACGACGAGGCGGTCGGCTTGTTCATGGGCTCGGAGCCAGACTGGTTGATGTGCAGCCTGGCCTTGTGGACTATTGGGCGGACTCCGCTGACTTTTTCGAAAGACTGGAGCTTGGATGTAATGGCCAAAATCTGTGAACGCAATGACATCGGCATCGTTCTATTTAATCGCCTGAAGCCTTGTGACCTTCCCGGTGTCGTCTGCATCAGCACCAAAACAGTTGACGATAGCATCATTTCACAATCCATCATGGATTCGTTCGAGATTACAATGTCCCCTCGCACTGGATGGATTCATCACTCATCTGGTACAACAGGTATGGCATGGATTTTTCAAGATTTTAATTTTACCTTTTGAGTGCTTGTAAGTAACCCAGATTGTGTCAGGGACGCCCAAATCAATGCTTGCGCCTATGAAATCAGTGGTTCATACTATACCATTGCATCGCATCCTCTATTCGCAAGACGTCCATAGTCTGCGGGAGCTCTCGAATGGACCAACGTAAGGAGCTGTCCAATAAAGCAAAAAACATACCCCAAACCCCACTAACTTTGTTTATAGGTATGGAGACACACTTTTCCTCGCTGCAGGAGTTCCGGTCTCTCGCGGGACTGCAATAATGCCTTCTCTGGATCTTGACTCTAGACCGGTTCCGACCGATGTTGCTCTTTTGAACGCCTTGGAACAGGGCGTAACGTGCATTGTGATATCTCCATCGCTATTCTACGTCGCTGAGAGTGCTGTTGACCCATTCAAGACGTGGCCTGGGGTGGCAGTTGTGTCGCTTACTGGAGAAATGATTCAGTATCGATGTATTGTTCGATTACGTCATCGCTTTCCTAATGCTGTGATATCAATGCTATACGGTACTAGCGAGGTCAGTCAATTTTCGGAGCAATAGGCGCTATGGCTGTTAGCCCGTCATTAGCTGCTCACCCGTGATCACTCTTATAGTCATGGGCGGCGGCCCAGTTTGAAGCTCGAATTGAGCCAAACGAGGAAATTCCTGAATCCGGCCCTGCATACCTCCGAAATGCAAATGCAGGCATGCTAGGCGTAGTGCTGTACAATGAGGTTACCGATGAAGAGGTACCGTGGCAGCCTAATCAACAAGCAATCCTGGGTCTCTGTCCTATTTGGGCGTGCAGCGGCTACAGAGGAACTGATTCGTCTGCGGTATTTCGACGAGCCAAAGATGGTAGACTAGTGGTATATACCTCAGATGTAGTCCGTATACATGACGATGGAAATCACTTTTCTATTTTGGGCCGAATTGGGCGAAGGGTGAAAGTCCATGGCGTGTATGTAGACTTGGAGGTAAGTAAGGCTAGTAGTGGGACTGAGTTAGTGGAATTGAGTTCAAACTGACATCCCCTCGCACGATAGTACCTTGACTCGTGTATCTGCAAGGCTCTCACCGATACTGTGGGTGACGGCGCTGTCATCATGACAAACGAGCGGTTTGTTTTGGTGTATACTGCAGTGCCTGGATCTGAGGCAGATCCAAGGGTTGTATTAAAGATTGCACAGGCAGCCATAGATTCAGAACATATCAAAAATGTTCATCTTGTAAAAGCCCTCCGTGTGGATGAAATGCCACTCAATAGCTCGTATAAGAAGCACTTTTCAAAGTTATCTCAGATGGTCGAAGATTCACTCCACACGGATTATATCGACCATGGCTATCCTCTGTTACAAAAGAATGAACTTGTAGCGTTACAAATCTCGGACATTGCTGCCGATGTGTTTGGACGACCTGAGCTGAAAGGATACAATATGGAATTCAAGGTATGGAATGATCCGTACACTCAGACGAGTCTCACAAACCTATCTTTAGGGTGCTGGTATCACAAGCTTTGCAGCTATGCGCCTAACCCATCAACTCCGCCGCGAAATTGGTTTCGTTACGGATGGCCACCAGTTGCTTATACCAGGAACAACTCCAAGAACATTGGCGAAATGTATTGAGGCAAGAAGCTCAGAGAACAAGATAGACATAATTGACGATCAAGGGGAAGACTACGAGCTACCTTCAATGAGCAGGAGAATTCTGGGGTTTTCTGCAGTCGCAGAGATAACTACTCTGGGAAGAGGTCTTGTACTTCGAAAGGTCTTGAGTGGTAAGAAACTTCCCCTTTCGTTCGAGACCCCAGCTAATTTCATATCTTAATTAGACTTTGGCATTCAGGATCCATCATACATCAACTTTGGTAGCGTCCCTCTAGATGCCACACGTCTCGAATTGGCACTCGTCCATTTGATGAACATCCATCCAGTTTTGAGGAGCAAGATGCCACGTTCAACCAGTTTTAGTAGCTTTTTTGCCAAACCTCCTTCCAAAGCAAAATTTCAAGATGTATGAGCTCTTTTCCCATTGAATACTCCAATCCATGCATTAACTCACTGGATCATAGGCTCGCTTGTCGTACAAGCTTCTTTATGTGAAGCCAGACAAACTCTTGTCACCAATAAAGCTTACCAGAGTCGTGAAACCTCAAGTGGCTAGTGGCCGATACAGCGTCATCTTGGTCATTTGCAAAGAACTCAATAAGACCTTGGCTTATGTTTCCCATGTCTACTATGACTCGTTTACTATCAAAAGTTACCTCCAGCACCTCATGGACTTGTATCATGATTACGACAAGTACTCAAGGTCAATCCCAATGCATAAACCGTACTCGCAAACGTTGGTTATGGATGAAGCTGCCAAACGATTGCCTCTTCTGCCTGATGACGTAATTATATACAGGTTGAATACCTGGATACTACCAGCCATAGCCATCGACAGTTACATCATGCATATACACAACGTCAAAAACTTTGACAGTGCCATTGCTGCAGTAACCATGTCAATGCTGGTTGCAAGTTATCACGTCCTGGGTTTCAAAAGGGTAAAGATTGAGGCTGACGGATCAGTAATACTCGGATACTGTGGTGTGTCTGGTTTAAATATTGCCGGCTACAGGTAAAAAGTTTATTCGCTCGATCGCGAAGAACTCTTTGATACTAACTGCTAAATATGATTGCTAGTGGGAATGGACTTGTAGAAACTTATACCGTAGTCACAATTCCAAACGGTGCCAAGAACCTGACATTCTCAGAGGCAATTACCGCCTTTGAAAGTAGGACCACTTTTGTTATACCCAAGACTCACCACCGTCGATTCCGTGGATATATGCTATGTATGTCTTTTCAAAACCTGTTCTTCTTCACGCCATACTCACACACCTTTCAACATTGTAGTCAATTTTAGGACTTGGGGTCGAGATGAATACGAACCAGTGCCATTGCGGTCATTGGGTCCAGGAAGTCAAGTATGGCCAATTAGTCAAGGGTCTGTTTATTCTAACGTCGATTCCATTACTGGGGAATCACGAATGCTGTTGTCTGGACACCTAGATCGACTTGTTAGTGGTGGTATTCGTGGATCTATGATGGGTTTGGCCTCACACATGATGCAATCATGGGGACTCAAGCCAGAATTGACAATCAGCAGCGGTTGGCCTCTTGGTATAAACGCTTGACGCAACTTAGTTGGACACATCGGGTGCTTGTAATTGGTATATTAAATGCGTGCGGAATTGATAAGAAACATTTGATTCAAGTTTTGAACCACGAAAATTGCAGTGTGCAAATGCTGGACTCTTTCTAAAAAGAGCAATTAAGAATGCGTGCACTTGTCGCGGTTGTACCTCACAGCATTGGTTTTAGACGCTAGTAGGTTAGTCATATGTTATAAGTCTCAAGAGACGCGCGTCCTGAATAAAAGATAGTTTAATCACCGTCTCAAAACGCTTCTGTGCGTGCGGTGCTGATTTCAACACAAAGGTTGCTTTTTCAACACAAAGGGTCTTTTCGCTGATTTAGATTTGACCAGTCTTTGTCATATTGATCGTTCAACTATATTCTTGAGCTAGCGAAGCCTCCGAAGTAAGGCCTGGCCATCACCTTCGTGATTGAAAAATTAACAAAAATTGTCGATTCGTTTCCTAGACATCATGTCAGCAAATTGGACCTCACCTTGCTTTGATTCCAGTGCTGGTACTGTCATTGACACTGTATCAAGTTGCCGCGATGGCTTTTGGTGTCCTAATGTATGAAAACTTGTCAAGATTTTCCGCTGAAAACGATTGAACTGACACGCAACAACCCATCCGTTGGTTTTAGGTCACCCAGGGCAATCTTCCAGTATATTGTCCACCAAGTGAAGACTGTCTCTTCCAGAGACTGAATGGTGTTGCGTGTCAAGTACGGCAATTCATGGCCACACATTTTTTACACTATTGTCAATGTATAACCATATTCTGACAAACCTATCCAGCCTCAAGGACGTTTGGAACCAACGATTTGTCCCCCTGGCTATTACTGTCCAAATTCAACCACCATATTTACTTGCCCCGCTGGTTCGTATTGTATAACAGGCTCAACTGCTCCAGTTCGGTGTGATGCACTCGCTTCATGCCCAGAAAACTCTGCAACTCAAGTTAGTTACTTTTCTGCAACTGCTTTTCAATCCTCTACTAAATCGTTTCCCAATAGCTCGTGTTAATGCCCATCATTGCCTGTTTGTTAATCGATCTGGCGATTCTCACATTCCTATTTCATCGGCCCTTTGGGTTCCTATTCCTTCGGCACTTCCGCAGGATACTGAAAAAGGATATCAGTAGCGCTGACTCACCCTACGGAGCGCTATTGCTTGAGGACATGCACTCTACGCCATGTCAGCCTGACTCTCAAAAGATTCAGATGCAATTAGTAAACGCATTCCGTCGTGGTCTCGAAGGACATAAACTATCGCTACGTTTTGATTTTAAAAATGTGACTCTAGTTAGAAATGGTCGGCCCATTTTGACCCAGGTGTCAGGTCACATTATGCCAGGTAAACTGACCGCCATATTAGGTCCTTCTGGAGCGGGAAGTGAGTGAATGTTGTTATAGTACTTGGTATGTTTCACATACTGAACTTCATTTCACTAGAAACTACATTTCTTAATGTCCTTATGGGCAAGATACCCAAAACATCAGGAGAACTGCTCATCAATGGGTCTCAAGCTCAAATCCATCAGTGTAGGTTGACGGTTCTGTTTTAGACTTTCAATTTTTCTTACGACTGTGACCTCAAAATAGTTAGTCGACTGGTTGGATTTGTGCCTCAGGATGATACAATGATTCCAGAACTGACTGTCCGTGAAAACATTTTGCATTCAGCAAGAATACGACTGCCAAGATCATGGTCGTCTCGAGAAGTTGAGGAATATGTAGATTTGGTTATAGAAATCCTTGGGTTCGTGTCTCGTGAATTTTCTTAAAAAATCTGCCGACTGAACATACTTAACCTCCATTTTAGCTTGACCCAAGAATCGAATTCGGTAATAGGGGATGTGCTGAATAGAGGTATCTCTGGAGGGCAAAGAAAGCGTGTCAACATTGGTATGGAACTAGCAGCGGTTCCTACTACACTTTTCCTTGGTGAGACATCATGCCTTTTTTTTAAAAAAAAGTGATGTCGATTGCTCTAACTGTTTGTGTAGATGAACCCACTTCTGGATTGGATGCTACCACAGCTTTGACTTTGATGGAAAATCTCAAGTTCGTTTCATCGCGGCTAGGCATCACTGTAATAGCGGTTATTCACCAACCACGTTTAGAGGTAGAGCAGTATGCAATGCGGTGAGGGAATATGTGAATTAATGCATTCTCGCTGATATAGATTTTCAACACGTTTGATGGACTGCTGCTACTTGCGGCAAACGGAATCACATCATACAGTGGTCCAACCTCCAATGTCCAATCTCATTTTGAAAGTCTTGGATACGTGGTAAGCTCTCCTTGGAAGTGGAACCATTTGACTGTGTTTAACGACATTCCTGTCCTTGGCATTAGTTCCAACAAGGTAGCAATCCAGGAGATGTCACCCTGGATATTTTGAATGGAAAAGGACAACGAAGGAACGAGGATGTCCGCAATCCTGCAGTCGAGGAGACTCCCATTCCAAACTCGTCTGGAGATCTGAGTACACCCGACGAAACTATTGTTGACGTGTCATTTATGGTGTTCCGGCCAGAGCGAACGAGTTCACGACCACAGAACGCACTCAGCCGCTCCGCATCTAGGACAATGACACAGTTGAAACAGCTTGCTACAGGAATAGAGTTTGATCGTAGTGCTGGCAGTTGGGATAGTTTCGCAGAACTTGCCACAATGCTTGCTAAGGGGCGGGGAGCAAGCTTCCATTGGCAACTGTACTATTGCTACAATCGTGCTATGCTGCAACAAACACGTCACTACTGGGCTCTAGTACTTGAAATCTTTGTTGGTGCGGCAGCCGGTCTTCTAATGGGTATTGCATCTCCGAGTGGAGAGAATTATTGGGTGATATGGATCGCGCCCTACAGTATCTTATCGCCAGCTTATCATGATTTCCCCATTGTCTTGAATGGGCTTCTGTATGGATTGACATGTGCTTTAGCAGTAAGTCGCGTCGATGGTGCTTTGAACGACACGACGTCATCCAACATATTTCTTGGAAAAGGGATCTCCACCAGGTGTGAAGGTCTTTGGTGCTGAACGTTCGGTCTATTGGAGAGAAGCGTCGGCTGGCCATTCGAGGATTGCTTACTTTATGGCCAAAATTCTTTCGACGATTTTACGACTAATGTTGGTGTCATTACATTTTGCCAGTGTCTTGATGATCATGTGTAGTCCACCAGTAAGCTTGTCGTCCCTCTTCTTGATCATTTTGGCGAACTTTTGGGGAGTGGTAAGTTCTTCGCCTTGTTGTGGGTTCTCTCAGATCCATTTGTTAACTGAAGATTACAAAATTAGTACGGTATATCACATGTTGTGTCATTCTTGCTCCGCCCAGCTGATGCGCCTTTGATTGGTGTGATTTTTTCCATGGGATGTGCTATTTTCTGTGGATTTGGCCGTAAGTATTTATTGTCAACTTTTAAACGATATCATTTTTACTCAAATTTGAAACCATCATTACAGCAACTTTAATCTCTGCACGGTCATGGCACCTCGGATGGTTGTGGGATTTGAGCTTTAATCGCTGGACTGCAGAAGCCCTTGTTTCCGAATCAGCCACCCCGTATCAGAACGTTTATATGCTTTCTGCTACTACAAACTATTACGGATACCAGTTTGGACGTATTGGACTTGATTTCGCCATTGCGTTCTGCATTGGTTTGGGATGGAGGATTCTCAGTTTCGCCCTTATGGTCGGGCTGAATAGAGGCAAGCAGAGATGATTTATACGGATACTGCCAGCCATCTGCTGGCTAGTCTCAATAGTACCACTCATGTCGATTTTAAATGTACCTCTTTCGTAACATTAACTCCTAAAAATCAATCGAGATTATGAATCGAAAGCATGGTTGATGTGAAGAAATTCTCTGATGAAAGCGCGATCAATCAACCATCACGTGGAAGCAAAAACTTGGCGACTTGTTGGCAGCTTCTGTACTCGAGTGATCCAAGACGGCAAAGGCGCAAGATGTGATGGGTTCAAGGTCAAACTTCAAGTGGGCTGGATTGACTTGGCAAGCAACGATCTGTTAATCATGAAGGGATCTTGATCTTAACAACGGAAAACAATGTTATCGAGGCGCCACTTTATGCAGTAGCATTTACAGGTCCCGCACCCTTTCTAACATGTTAGTCGTATCCTATTTTTCTAGACTGCTCCACCCTGTTGGCTCGTAGTAGGAAATGATTCATATAACGAACCAAATCTTGTATGGTCTGACTATGTCGGCATTTTGCTATGAGCTTACGGTTTCCTGGTCGAGGTTATTGCCGATACGTCCAAATTTGTCTTCAAACTCACGAGTCGCAAAGATTTTATATCTACTGTTGAGTTTTATTGATTCCGACAACTCGCAGACTTATACTAACTTGCTTTCAAACAGGAATATGAAATACTGTCGGTACGCAAACTACCACGGCGAAATAGTTATCTGGCTCGGAATGTGGATACTCTGGATCCACTGCTTTACAGACAATTGGCAATCCGTGTCAAAGATATCACCATTATTCGTTGCTGGACCGGTATTGCGTGTTTCCGGAGTGCCGTTAGCAGAAGCTATTCCAGAGAGGCAGAGAAACGGTATGTTGCGAGAGCCGATTATCAAGCTTATAAGGCTGCTACTCTAAAGGTATGTGTTGCTGCTCGTGATTTCGCAGGTGCATAGAACTGACCTCTTGATTTTTTTTGTAGAAGTCTTATGGTTTTCCAAGAATCTTCAAGTGACGAATGAGAGTCAACCAGTGCCTGGTAAGGCAAGTTACTTCGTCAAGCCGACGAATGACAAAGTGTTGCTTGTCTTCGCATGATTTTTCGTGATAGAAGAGCCAGTAGAAGAGCAGACAGATGCGTAGCAACCTGCTTGAATTAGATAACATGTACCGCTTTACATATCACAGATAACAAAGATTCGCATACTGTTTAATTACGTCTGTTAGCTTACAATGAAAACTGCTACGAGCATATTTGAAAGGCACAAAAAGGTGGGTGTTGCTGTCAAGGATTGTATATCAAACAAGCAAGGAAAGTCTTTAGAATAATTCTCATTTGGGTGATGAACAGTCTTCCCCTGCGCCATGGTACTTCGTGAATTAAAAGGAGTTCATGTAGCGCCACATACTCCCCCTCAGAACGTCTTATGAAATGGTTAGTTGCCTTCAGCGTTAAAAGTAGGTTTGGGTGCCAACACCCATTCGACCATTTGTCCAAGAAATAAACGACAAGCAACGTCAATGTTGCTTACCTAACAGTGAAGAATTTGGTGGGTAAGGGTGTTCATAGATGGACTCAAACATTTCCATGAACTTACAGCAAGCAGTGTCATCGACACTGGAATCGTCGGCAGCTCTATAATAAGATCCCAGAATACAGATCGACGGTCTGATGTTTTGACATTGTATGTTCGTTCGATGCTAAACAAATAACACAACAGTTAGATTCAGCATGAATTGAAAGGTGAGTTTACGGAAGCTTGAAGGACTTACAACGTGTGCAGTATTTCAAAGTACACTATTGCTGAGAGTATAAAAGACATCAAGCAGAGTATCCACATCCACTTCAAAAACATTCCCAAAGGAGTAGATTCGACTAGACGACCTCCCCACATACAAAATACTGGGTAACCGAACAATAAAATCAACAGGGAAGCTTGTGTCAACCAAAAGGCTTCAATGACCATCACGATTGCTTGTATCTGCTTTAACCGAAAAGACCAGCTCGATGTATCCCACAAGTCGATGGTCCGTCGAAGAGTGTAGCCGAAATCCATCATACCTTGTTTTTCAAATTGAAAAGGTTGGGTTTATTGAGATGATTGGATTTTGCCAAACAAAGACTGTACACAACAGCATTATATTCACCCAGCGAGTGTCGTTTGCCCTGCTCATAACGATCATGAAGTTGCTTCCAAAATGGTGCAGCTTCCCTGCATACACTGGATGAATGAATAGGCACATATATTGCAATACGCTCAGAGTCCCCATTGGTTTCAAATATGACTTTAAAGTATACCTGCCAAACAAGCACGGATTCGTAAGAAGTCAACATTCATAAATTCAATTAGTAAAGGACTCACATGTGCACATCTTCAAGTATCGTCTTAAAGTCAACACCCCAAAAGCCGATTCGTCGGATTAACGACATTGAGAATGTGTAGTTGGACATGATGAATGGCTGGTCTGTTGACAAATGGCCTAGATAAAAGTGCGTCATACCTAATTAAGAATGAAGGGAGATGTTTCAGTCACCACAATATGTTTGGCGTCGTGTACAAAAACACAATGCATCGGCCTTCGAAAGTCACGAAACTGCACTCACACACATCGAGAACTCTCACGAATACATTAGTGGCCGTGTACTTGCGACAGTACGAGTTGAATCCCACCAGAAGAGCCGATTCCGGATTTGCGCATTTGGATAGGGCCAGTTCACCTGTCAATGCAAAAGGTTACAAACTGCTTGAGCAATGTTAAGACTTTTGCCTTACATTCGTTAATGTACAGTTCAGGGATTCCAGAATCGGCATCTAGCACAGTTACCATTTGATCTTTTATAGGTATTCCTCGTGAGGTGAGGATCTTCAGAGTCTGTCTGGAAGCATGATTGACTAGAGCAAACGAAGGAGTTATCCTGTTTCTGAAGGGTAGTTGTAGACAAGAGACGTACCGTTGGAGCCTTTCCCCTTGACTTCTCCTGCAACAGCAAAGAATTAATCTCAGAACCACACAATAATCAAAAATGCGCGAATTAAGGTGACATACCAGGCATCAGTTTGTGCGCCGTAACAATAATATACGAAAAAGAGCCTTTAAACTCCTTCACCAATATGTCTGCTTTAGTCTGGTACCCATCTTCACGTTCTTCCATAGCCAGAACCACAGTATATGAGTTGATGGCATACTTTTGCGCGGCGAGTTGGTTCAATGTATATCGAAGACAATTCAACTCTTCTTGCCAGTTTGGGATGATAAAGACATGGTGGTATTTGGTAGCGTCCAGTTGATTGTTTCTGGTGATGCATGCCTTTATGCTCGTAATTGAGACCCACGAACTGTAAGCCATTCTTAAGAGCCATGAGAAGGCCAATGGATAATAAACTAATTGGAAAAAAGAGTTTGTTTCAGTACACTCAACTCATCACACGATTCGACAAACATTCGAGTTCGGAACTTGATCAAATACGATACCGGCAAGGAAGTACGCAAAAGCTTGAGGCGCCAAGATGGGACCTATAATGAGAGTTGGCAAGACCAGCAGTGCGGCGGTGCTGAGAATTTTCGTTAAATTTTCTTGTGTGATTTTGTTGGATTTCTGGCGTTCATGTCCGTTGGACTCCATCGAATTTAACCAATGAAGGAACAAAGAGAAAACCAAACAAGGTCAAGAAATTGTTACCAAATGTTGTTTGCTCTGTTTTGGCAAAAGCCTCGAGATGTTTGTTGATTTTGAGGCTGTCTGAGAGGCTGTGGTGAGGCTTAAATAGTGTTTGGTTTGGAACACAAAACAGCTACCACAACACAACTTATAATTAGGCAAGGACTCTACAAGATGCGTTCCCAAGTTGCAGAATTTTATAGTGGTAGAACCGTCTTCTTGACTGGAGTCACTGGTTTTGTTGGCAAAGTAACTTATCGCATTCGTTGCAAACAATGCACCACCTGCGGCGTTATAACACTCTGCTTTGTGTAGGCGGTAGTCTTGAAACTTTTAAATGCATGTCCAGATATCGAAAACATATATGTATTGGTCCGTACCAAAAAGGGCGTTGCTCCAACAGAGAGAGCTCGAACCCTACTTTCCAACTCAGTTTTCAAAGACATCACAGTCAAGCAGCTCTCCAAAGTTACCTGAGTGGAAGGAGATATGATGATGCCGCTGCTTGGTATGTCTAGTGAGGCCCGATCGCTACTAGGAAAGAATGTATCGGTGATCATCAACTGTGCTGCCATCGTGAGTTGGAATCGACCGCTGGTCGAATACATACAAATGCATGTAGCCGGACTGCAAAGGTACGTATTCAACGGTGTGGGACATTTTGAGCTTTATTGTGTTATCTTGCTTTGTCTCTATTGTGAAGAGGACGAAGGCAAAGCTGTGACGGGTATACTTCATTCAGATTATATCTTAGCTTACCACGCTTTCATCATTAGCATCATGGATCTGGCACGTGAATGCAGCTGTCTCGTTGCACTGGTCCAAGTATCCACTGCCTATGCAAATTGTGAGCAAGCCCGTCCAGAGGAGAAGATCTATCCTGTGAATGTCAATCCTCGCGCCATGCTAGCAGCATTAGAATGGATGACGCCTGAAATGTGGGAGCTCTTGAAACCAAACCTTCTTACCAACAAGGTCAATGCATACGTATGGAGCAAACATTTGGGAGAAGTGTACCTGTCTCAAGAACGACAACACTTGCCATGCTGTATAGTGCGTCCGTCTATCGTCGCGGGCGCTTGGAAGGATAATCCTGGCTGGGTTGAAGGATTTCAAGGAATGACTGGAGGTGAGACCGGCATTCATTTTTGCTTGACACTGTGCCTTCAAATCTTTTATGACGCTCTTCATGATTTAGCTATCATTGGAGGTGCTTCAGGAGCAATACGTTCCGCACACGGCGATGCTTCGTATATATGTGATGTCGTGCCAGTGGACATTGTCGCCAATACTATCATTGCTGTTGGATGGCGAACAGCTAGTCTAGCATGGTACTCGGACGCCAAGATTCCCTCTAGCCCCTCAATGCCATTGTGTTCCAATTTTCCGGCATTCACGTCTGCCATTATGTCTGAATTGCATGCTGTCAACAGCACCAAATCAGAGGTTGGGGAGGCCTCTATGCTTGTAAATACTGAATCTAGTGACGAAGGTACTATACCTTCAAAAGACGTTACCGACAAGTCTACTACCGGCTCATCGGATGAAGTCACTTTGACTCCTGGTCATGACCTTGTTATCTATCACTGTACTTCGGGAGAGTAAGTCATCAAAACAGTTTTCAAACGAAGCGCAACAATTTTCTAAAAGCTCATGTCCTCACATTTGCTGTCTCTAGTCAGAATCCTATAACATTGGGCCAATTGTTTTGTGGATATCTAACCATTGCTGCAAGAATTGTCCCTTTCCATGGACGCATACGACATCCAAACTTTAAGTACACAACGAACAAGCTCTTGAATGGATTTTATGAATTCTTCACACATACTCTATTCGGTAAGGGGTTTGGTGAGTCGAAACATGAGTATAAGTAAGTTACTCATCTCGTTAAGCAATTCCACAGGGTATATTGTCGACGCAGGTCTTGCATTAATGGGCAAAGAAGCTGGCTTGACCAAGTTTTACCAAAAGTGGAATGCTGTCAAGAATGTAAGTTTGCACACATCCAAACCGAGTATTATCTCCAACAGACTAATTTGTTTCCAATATGTGTAGGATTTGACAGAATTCTTATGGGTCAAGGGCCCCTTTGTATCAGACAACATGAAAAAGCTAGTAGACGAGATGAGGGACGACAGTGTATTTCATATCGACATTTCAGAGGTACATTGGCCTGATTATTCAACGGATGTATATTTTGGGATCAAAAAGGTATGGAAATGTGGCCCATTGCATGTCGACCAACTTGTGCTCTTAATTTACGTATTCTGACAGGCATTTCGTTTTTCAAACCCATCTAGCACTTGCTAAAACAAACAGTAACACGTCACGACGAAGACAAGTTGAACTTTCTTCGAAAACAGCAACATGGAGCGGTGACGTTGTTTCAGCAGGAAGGAACATTTTGGTGGATGAAGGAAGATATTCTCTTAGTATGGGTCCTGCTCTCCTTGCTATGTTATCTATGTGCGCCTGTAGTACTTGGAAGGTAATACTGAATTGAATTCATAAGTCCGCATCGTCATGGTAGCATTGGATCCATTTAATTTGGTGTGGATTCAGGTACAGAGCGGACTCCAAGACGGGAGAGATTGAGTGATTAGAATGATAAATGATGGATGACAAGGGAATTTTACTCCGGAATCTAGTACTTTAAAATGTAGATGTGTCTCTGCTCGAAAACAAAAATTTGCCAAGGTCGTCAAGAGTGAGGTCTTCCCTTCGCGAGAGCAATTTTATTTAAGTCAGCAACAACGACAACGTGGACAAAGAAAAATACGCACATTACTACTACCAAGCGACGGCTATTTTGCATATTACCGCGTAATGTTGCAAAGGTGTGAGTAGGCGATTTGTTGAGCTTCGACCTTCACTGTCGACGGCTGCACCAGTCCATCGAGACCTGCGTTGTGTCATGCACCCCGTTATCCGGCTCCTTTTCAGTATACCTTTGGTGATGCCGGGGTTTCGGTGCTTGAAAATGTGGCGACTGAAGTCTGCACGATGATCTAGTCACACACAACGATACCTCGTTTTGACCTATCAATGTTGGAACTCGACGTGTTTCAAAGCACACAGCAAAAAGCAGCATGACAGGCCAATAAGAGGTTGAAACTTCCAGAGTATAAGTATGTAGTTCCCTCTAAACAGAAACCCACGTCGCTTGGGGGATCCCAATGATGTTCCCAGCTCACTTTGACTTGTATAGCTGCTTCTCGATGTTCATCTTACGTCAACACAGTGGCTCTTCAGTTCACAGCACCCCCATCAAAATATTTGCTTTTGGCCTTTGAGATGACTTGGAATCGTTCATTGCTGTTGAAATGCCTTTGGCGTTAACAATTAGTGTACATCAGCGGATCACTCTTGTATAGCCAGGGTGCCCGGTATCTTGAATCTCTCAAGCTCTCACTATTTTCGAGTCGGTAAGGTGATGGCTGGTATCAAAGGAGCTGAAAATGCAGGTCGTTGCAAACCAAATGTCGATGGTTCCACTATTTCGTTTCGTAAAAAAGCAGACACTTTAAGCTGATCCAAGTATGCACATTCTTCTTTTACACCCGACGTTAACAATATGAGAGGTGCGAAAAATGCATCAATCACGATGCTTCGGCTGCGAACATGGTGCGCCAAGTGAGGTTGAAGTCGGACTGGGAGCACAGAGTTCCAATCGTGAAGCACCGGTGAGTTCACTAGTGTATGGCGAAGACGTCCAGCGTCTTGGCGCCCTCTCCTCCTCCTCTCGCTCTCAGTCGTGATGCATGGTAATTTCAATATCAAGAGTTTTGAAGAAAAGTCCTCATGATGATGCAGTTCCAACGCACTTTGCACCCAGTTCCGATAGTTCGAGCACTCCAGTGCGTGACAATTCGTATATTGACGTTGATTCAGTCTCAAAGACACATCCATTTGACGTCCTTTGCCACCTGTTTGTGTGGACGATATGGCTTGAGGCGAAGGAAGCTTATCAGATAGAGATCGAATAAGTCAAATCAAGCGTGTTACCTCACATATAAAGATCCGATCTTTATATTAGCTTCAAGTCGAGAACCGCAGAAGACGACTCTGGTAAAACAGAAAAAGCATTTTTAAACTTTGCGGAGCTATACCGCGACGACGACACGACCAGCTGCAACAAATATGGGAAGAGCATCTAGAAAATACACGGGAATGCGCCCATCGCCTTAAAATTAATTTAAAATTTGCCAAAAAGGTGGTATATCCGCAGAGATAAGTTCAAACAACAATGACCGGAATTCGAAACTTAACAATATGATAGGCTTCGTTTGATCCATTTATAAATATGACGCATATGCATTGGATATTCGTTCCCTTGAACCCAAGCGCCGCTGTTATGACTCCTCTGACGTATTATCGTGATGCCGACTCCGAGTTTTCAGAAAGCTTGTCATTTGGCATCCGGCCGGCCGGAGTGAAAATTTCTTCCGGGAAATTTCGGAGAGCAGTTTATTTTCTTATAACGTGGCGATAAATTTCAATATTGGTGATTTTATCGATATGGATTTGCGGTTGCTGCTCAATCCAGAAGACGGCAATGATGAGGCAATCGGCCATGACCTCTCACGATACCCCAGAGGATCCTACTCTGTATCACCACCAGATCTACAGCAGAAAGAGTTGGGACTTCCGATAGTAAGCGATCTCTCGATATTGCATTCTACGATGCATGCATCACCACCACCATCAACGGCAAGCCAACCTATCCCTCCATCATCCGGTCAAGATCTGCCCCCGAACTTCTCACAACATTCTCCCCCTATACATTCCCAACGAGATGGCGGGGCAGCATCCTGGCAGCCTCATGGACGATCTCCAATATACCGACCCCACAACTACCAACCCAACAACTACACGTTTCCAGTAGCTACAGCAGGGCCAAAACATCATATGCAGCAGGATAAAATACCCAGCACTCTATCATTACCGTTACCCACTCGTCCTTTTAGTTTTAGACCACCGTCTACCTTCTATAGCGGATCAGTTCCACCAATAGAGCCACAAACGTATCAAGCACCCACTCAAATGATGGAACGTCCAACAAATGTATTTCAGATCTATGCGCAAAGGGTATCTTACCCACTAACAGGGGCTAAAAGCACATATGATGACCATTATCAGCCTGTGGGTCGCTCTCCGAATGATCCTTATGCAAGACATCATCCTCATCCAACATCGGCGTCGTATCCAAATACAACAAGTGGGCTGTCGCATCAATCCGCTTCCGGTCTGCAATATGGACTCGAGCCGGTGCACGAGAGGTTCGTTCATTGGTTTGTTATGAGCTCAAAATTTTGACACTCTCAGGTGTGAAGGCAGTGTAATGGAGGAACTGACGTTCGTCAACACCCTAGGAGGATACGCGTGTCAAAAGCCTGTAATTATTGCCGACTTAAAAAGCTGAGGCAAGTCTCGACCGGGAGTTCTCGCTGTTCTATGCTTCCATGTAAATTTACAAACAGTTGACCCTGCGTTTCACTTATAGGTGCAATGGTGAACAGCCCTGCTCCTCGTGAGTGTGGATTCAATATTGAATCACCCCAAAGAATGTGTCCATGATGTCAAACAACCAGCACGTTCCTCACATTCGTCACGTTTTTAGATGTAAAAAGAATAACAGGATGTGTGAATACTCTGCGGAATCAAATAAGAAAAGGGGCAGGAAGCCTAAAGGGATGAGGGACGTGTCGGACGGGACGCCGACATCTTCACACAACTCACATTCACCGTCTCCAGACGAAACACAGTCTAGCAGTAATAGTACATATAGTTGAGTAGACCACTGCAATTAAATATTATACACATAAAGATGGTGTCTATCACTTGGGGTGATCACCTTAATTCCGCTGGTTGCGTTTCCGATTGGAAAGTATAAAGCAGAATAGGTTCAAGTTTTCTTGTTGAGCGCGACACAGCATCCGCAGGCGCTCATTTTTACTGTATAAGATCGAAAAGATTGACCTCCCTCTTGTGGTATGAGCTTTCTGCGAGCGACCGACAGCAAACCACCGCTATTGGACGCAATTGGCGGCCTTGCCAGCGAAACCTTCGCCAAATGGCATAAATCAATCACGATTCACGAACATTAAGAGCCATTATGCGAACTGCGTCATCCTCGGGGATCAGTCTATCTCAACTCATGTTCTCCGAACACCCAACGCGAATCATCTACAAGCAGTCAGACGATGGCACTTTGGAAAAGCATACCGTATCAGCAACCATACAGAGACTTTAAAAGTCATATCTAAAGAGTCCTATAGACAAGATCTGTGAGGTCGACTTCTATTTGCCTTCCTTGAACTTTAATCAGCGGACAATCATGGACTGGATCAAATTTTTTTGCTTCAATTTGGTCTTGTTCGTGTCTGCTGTCGTCGGCAAGTCTCTCCATCAGAACGAATTGCTAGTATTCAGGGTAAGGTTACGTGCTACTGTCATGCATCAGCACTTTGATTTGAACATTTCGCTCGACCTGTCTTTTGGAGATTCACGCCAACAAAGTGGCTAACTCTTATCTATTTTCTTAATCAGATTACAATCCCTATCATGACAGGATGTCTCATCTCCGCATACGGCAAATGGGCAAAGGGTTTGTATTGGATCGTGTTCTTGGAAGGTAATTCCTTGTGACGAAGCTGATTCCCAGCTTGCATCAAAAGATGATATATGTACCGGTCGCGCTGATTTTTGACTTGATTTAGTCGCCTTATTCGTATGTAACCTGTTGGGAAGATTGGTGTTTGAACGCACAGAGATTCCAATCATATTCATGTACATCATTGGAGAAGCCATCATATCCAATATCATCGCTGTCTCGCTGCTTTCCATCTGGACTAGATCGAGAAGGAAAGCAGGCCTATCACTGAATGAACCGGTCTTGCTGGACGAGACCTCCGTTGTGATACCATTTCTTGTTCTAGCTCTTTCTCTTACAGCTGTGGTTGGAATTATTGGTGCGGCTATATTGAACAACATATCAGTCGATTTCTTTTTGGACTTTTTTGCCTCGGAATCCGTAGGAACTATTCGTAAGTGTTTGGCAAAAGCCGTTTTTGTTTGGTTTTGATCGAAAATCACAGCAGGAGCCTTTTAAACTTGATTTTATGATCCGCATGATACGTAAAGAATCCGATCGACACGTCCGATCTCGGTGTTTTCACCGATCGAGGTGTCACGTCACTTAGACGACTGAAAGCTAATCAAGAACTACATGATCGTTTAGTGACGTTGCCGGCTGTATTGCTCGTGTCTCAAACTGATTGGAGACATCATCAGTTGACCTGGATGAGAGTGCTTGCTGCTATTCTTCTGTCTGCAATTGGTAAGGTCAACTTCTTGAACCAAGTTCATGTGTTTCGCTCGGTCTTTAAATAAAACTCTTCTAGTGATTGCAATACCCGTAATTGTGAGCTTCGTTTTCGAGACACCAAATTTAGTGGGACAACCCTCCGATTCGAAAATCTTTTGGTCCTTGGTTTTCTCTCTACCAATATTGGCTCTGAGTGGTTGTACACTTGGGACTACGGGTCTGACGTGTGCCCTTCTACTATTCTCAATTGCTACACCAATGATACGATTTCTTCCAGGCAAGCTCTTAAAGTCGCATTGTTGCCATACAATTCTAAATCTTCCTCTTTTCAACAGGCAGCTTTGTTTATGACGACCACCAACTGGCACTGATGTTACTGCTCGTGTATCTCAGGTAAAGCGCCGATCATTAGCAGAATCTTACAACGCAGAGTTAAGTGCCGTTTCGGTTATTTTAGTATGTTGCCATTTACGGTAGTGTTGGCCGAGAGGAATCGAATCCTTGAATCAGTTGAGAAACAGGTAGATGACCGAACTGCCGATTTAGTAAAAGCGATTCAAGAAAAGGGAGAATTTATGAGCTTCCTCTGTCATGAGCTGAGAAACCCGTTACATGTCGTGCTCTCGATGTCGGATATGGCCATGCTCGATAATCCGAACAACGAATATGCCAAAGCTTCGATTACCGCTGCAAGATACATGACCGACTTATGTAACGACGTACTCGATGCCACCAAACTTCAAAGTGGCAAGACAAACATTGAACCACAATGGGGGGATCTAGTCACTACGCTTGGAGACCTGTGTCATGCAATGTCACTTCATGCTACGACGCTGGGAATCCGTTTGCAATACCATCCTGATTCCGATGTACCAGACAGAGTCTTTGCAGACAGTCTACGGTACGATCCCTTGATGATGATTCTAGTTTCAGTGGGTGAGATATTGATTTTGAACCATTCATAGATGGAGACAGTGTCTTACGAATCTCCTGGCCAACTCCTGTCGATTTACCAAGCGTGGTGGTAGAATTGATGTCTACTTGCATCTGCTCAAGGACGGCTCACTTCCTTTGGATCATGTACGATTGAGGTGCGCCATTGAAATCTCAGCTTTCTTCTCGGACTTCTGTCCGTCTAATTTATCGAGTGCTTTTAGATGTGAGGTCACCGACACAGGAATCGGCATAGATCCATCACACATACCGACACTCTTCATACCATTCAGTATTGCCAGTCAAAAGACAGCACGAGAGTATCAAGGATCGGGTCTAGGCCTGTCCTTGAGTTATATGCTTGTCGACCTCATGGGTGGTAAACTGAGTGTAGAAAGTCAACTAGGTGACGGAAGTCGATTTTGGTTTGAATTGGTGGTCCCGACTGAGAAATCAAGTCATCTCGTTAACGTTGATCACGACGTTGGTGATGCTGATCTCGATGCCACAACAATGGTTGATATAGAAATGGTCGAACTCACGTCCTCAGCTGTGATTGCTCGCAATGACTCGTCGGGCGCAAGGCATGAACGACCACGAAAGACTATCGCAAATGGTCATTGGACTAGGAAATTGGTCAGTCCTGATGCTAATGCCATAGAAGAAGAAGAACCACGAAGATATTACAGAAGGAATGATGACAATAGAACAACAAGGCCGTCGAACGCTCTAACCACAACAGCAGGACCGGCAGTCATCGAAGAGAAGGATATCATTGTGTCAGAGTCCACCACTTTACTTCCATCGACCATACAACCACATCAACCAACCACATCTTTAGCACTACCGTATATTCTTCAGAGTACTTTGCCAGATAGGCATCTTGAAAATAGTAGCTCAGCTCTAGCCACACATTCTCGAATCCTGGAAAATATAGCAATGAACGATTACGATAAGGCCCAAACGACAGCTGCATCGGATACCACAGATGACCCTATCGTTGGTTTTCTCGTGGTTGATGACTCGGATGTCAATCGTGCACTGTTGAAACGTATGCTTAACCGTTTGGAGCCCCGTATGAAATTGCATATGGCTTGTGATGGTCAAGAGGCTATTGATCTCGCAGAGAAATACCAGTATCGAGTGATATTTAGTAAGTTGGCGGGACAAACTGATTTAAAACAAGTCACATTGCCTACTAATTCAATATCTTGCTTTTTCAGTGGACTTGCAAATGCCTAGAGTTGATGGTAACGGTGCCTGAACTATGCAAGTTATCATGTTCCGACTCCCTCAACAATTTACGCGATCTCGTAGGTTGGCAAGCAATTGCTCATATAGGAAAAGCAGGCCTCAATATCTCAACACCCATTGTCATTACAACTGCTAATGCCGTGACTCTAGAAGAAAGATCTCTTGGCCAATGCCAAGTCTTGTGCAAACCATTTCTTTCAAAAGATTTGAAGGCCATTCTCGACAGTTTACATAGTGTAGATAACACCCTAAAAAAGTAGTTCATGGTTTAGAATTGATTGTACATTAGGAATGTACGTAGCTAGCAACCTGTAAACTTTAAGCACGAGAAGAAATCTTCATACGAATAGCCGACCATACCAAGATCGCCGACAGTTTTAATATCGTGCAATGCGTGCATGTTTGAAGTGTACAGGAGCTGATCTGCATGAGTCAATTCTGTAATACAACGCTAGTACTTAAGTGCCTCAATATAATTATGGTATAAGACGACCCAAAACATCAGAGCCCCAAGTCGCTCATTTAGGAAAGGCGCAAGCATCGAATCTATCAGTCCTGCTATAATGTTCCTCATACCGCCGTTCCAGATGCGATTCTGTCACGGCTGCGTAGAAAGTTGATTCTATAGGTTTATCTGAAGCGGCCTTCTTCGTGACATTGAGGCCCTATTTACGTTCTTCGCGAGGTGAATTACTAGCAGGGATACTAGCAGGAATAGCATTGTTACCGTTATCACTACTACTAGAGGCCATTGGAATGGGGGTTGATTGCTGTTGTTCTTGTAAGGCTGCTCCAATAACATTCGAGGATGGTGCAGGACTACCTTCGCCAGGCAATCTCCATTGATTCTTGACAATCAATGGAGTGACTAGAGGCAGCTTGTCTTCATCCTCTTCGTCATTGGCTGCACTACCATTTTCGATGCTTGATGACGCGACTCTCGACCTCATGAAGGTATTGTGTGTTTTAGATTCCTCGTTTGGCTCCTCTATGATCATGATCTGGCTCGAATGCGGCTGCAGCTGGTCTCTTTATCACCGGCTTCTGAGATATGTTCTTCCGTCTTTAGCAACAAGAAAGAAGTTGATGGAGGTCCATTTTGGTCCATTTCTTGGATTTATAAAGAGGGATAGCCCTTATGAAGATTCACAGATAGTCTATTATGCTCCAAGAATTGCCCTGCTGCGGAACCTCAAAAGACAACACCAATTCAAGTTTTGAGTTTTGTAGTCAAAGACAATTGCGCCTATAAGAGCGTGATATTACTTGTTCTGGCGCTTATTTCAAGTTATTCAGAAGTTGGATCGTTGACGCCAACCTTGCACGTCGAACATACATGGTTGATCAACATTGCATTTGCTCCATTCGGCCAAGTCGTATGACCGACCTAACTGATGTTGACTTCATCAGTAACGTCAATATACGTATGAGATAACGTAATGGCGGTATCAACGTCCTCAATGGACGAGTCAAGAAGGCCAGGTGACTACCATCAACCGTTTTATTGGCAACATTCAAAGCACGCTGACGAACATTCATAAGCACATTACAGCGTGGATGCAATGAAGCCAAAGCCATCTGCGAACGAGATTACAAGGATCCAACAGCACGGTTGCCTCGGGAGGTGGGCTGACGACAAACGAATGTGCCAGTCTAATGCTGGAGCTGCTGATGGTTTAGCTGTGGGATTTGAGCTTTAATCGCTCGTCACCGCTTATCAACTATCTGCTTTCTGCCACTATCAACCATTATGGATACCAGCTTGGACGTTGTTGAACTGGATTTCGCTAATGCGTTCTGCGTCAGTCTGGGAATGGAGGCTTCTCAGTCTCTTCCCTGTGGTCGTGCTGAACAGACGCAAGCAGAGCTCATGTACCCAAACACTGCCATACGATCTGTGACCTGGCGTTACAATAGTTTCACTCATATGTCGCCTTAAATATACAGCCTCACCTCAAGTACCTCCAGTGTAATCGTAACCTTTGAATTGAATGGAGTGCAAAACTCGCCATGTCTGGAGGCTCTCTCGCGCATTATAACGTCGTCAATAATCAACCATCATGTGAAAAGGGAAGTTATGCCCTGTCGAGTTGATTTGGACATCGATTCAGATGAAAACAATAAACATCATGGCAACCTCGTCAAACCGCAAACCACCAAGTTCACGGAATTTTTCACTTATATTTTGGGGGTTCCACACTACATATTATTTTGAGGGGAGTATTGAGATTCCAGGGGGCTACAATGGCATTTCGATGCAACAAAATGAAAGATTATCAGACCAATAGCATATAGCATGAGAGATAGGGCGAAGGGTTAAACAAACACTCCATTAGAGCAAGAAGATCCTGGCAATTTGCTAGAGTCCCCGTCACTAGAACACCATCCTTCATACTCTCCAGATGTTACGACACAGGAAGGTGGATTGCATTGCCAACCACTCTCGCTCCATGTCCATTGTAGCTGATTTACCATGCCAATGGCGTAGCAAACTCCAAAGTACGAAATACTTGGAGCAACACAGGTAGAGGCATCAACGAATTCACCATTTCTGCATGCCTTTCCAGATACCTACAGAGAATAATGGGTGTAAGTTCAATAATCGAGACCGAGAAAAGGGCTGTCACAGCGACATTAGACATACTTTGCTGGTGTCTCCATTGAAACTGCACCATCCTGCAAAGGTTCCATTAGCTACTGCACAAGAAGGAGCAGGACACTCCCAGCCACGGCTAGTCCATAGCCAGCCCAAGTTGTTTCGTTCGTCAATATCATAGCACTTGCCTGAATTTTAGAAACGTGATTGAGTGAAATGGGCATGTGATAAAGGAAGGCAGCAACCAAAGCTCACCAAAATAGATGATACTGGGAGATGGGCAAGAAGCATCAACAAATTCACCGTTCATGCAGGTCAGCGGTGCCTAAGGTTTCAAATTATCAATGGTTTAATTCAAAGTCCTCTATGAAAAGCACAAACTGCAGCTTGTGACTGCCTACCATTTTTCCGACATCGCGATCGGGGCTGCACCATCCTGCAAACTCTCCAGAAGGTACAAAGCAGCGGGGTGCTGGGCAATTCCAGGCTCCAGTGGTCCAAGTCCAGCCAAGATGATTTACATCGCCTAGTGCGTAACATTGCCCGAAATATTTAATTGCTGGAGGAGGACAAGAGTCAACGGAAACAAAAATTCCATTGGAGCAAATGGATCCAGGGAGTTTGACAGTTTCGCCGGACTTTGAACACCATCCTGCATACTATAAAAGAAGGATTTGGCTGATATCTCACATAAAATGCCAACAATCGTTGATGTTGACGTACCTGGCCAGTAGGGACTGCACAAGACGGGGATGGGCATACCCAACCCTCACTAGTCCACGTCCAACCCAAGTTGTTGACACTGCCACGGGGATAACAGGTACCAAAGTAATTGATAGACGGATCAGCACACACTCTGGCATCCACAAAGACACTGGTGATGATAACCATAACCTTGTGAGTCAATATACGAATTTCAGATATAACATTTTCAGATTTTTACCCGTTGGCACAGACAAATCCAGGGAGCTTGTTAGAGTCGCCGTTCCCGGAGCACCAGCCAGCGTACTGTCCTTTCGTCACGAAGCAAGATGGAGAGGCACAAGACCAGCTAACAAGCCAAACGCATAACTTTGAGGCAGGCTCGACAAATAACTCAGGCTTTTTCAAGAGCTTACCCATCACAAGTCCACAACCACCCGAGATGATTAGTCTGTCCTGGGAAGTAGACTTCACCAAAGTATCGTATGGGAGTGCATGAACTGCTGGGTGTGGGAGCAGCACTGGTAGCAATCGCGATAACAGTTGATGCTTGAGGCTATGAATGAAAATCGTAAATGGAGGTGCGGTCTGTAAGAGTTTCGAGACACGATCCTTACCGACGGAGCAACTGAAGAAGGCACGCTTGCAGCTGCAGACGGCAAGATGGAAGGGTCCTAATATCAAATGTGTCAACCAATTGATTTCGTTTGGTTTCTCTTTGCAGCATTTTTGGATCTTACAAGTGATGGGACTGCTGCACTGGCAACCACGGTAGATGCTTGAGGCTATTTTTGGATTAAGATGTAAATGAAAGCCCTTCCTTTTAGAACTCTTGAATAGCACAAGATTACAGAAGGAGCTGGAGGACGAATACAGATTCCGGCGACACAGTTTCCATCACAAGGATTTGAACAACTCCCACAGTGTATCAAAGAGAGAGACGTATCCTAGATGAGCCGTGAGTAGAGGGTTATTGCATCGGGGCACACCAAGACCTTACCACACACGAGCCATCGCACACCAGCAAAGGAGAATCACATGGTGCTACTTTGACGCCGAAAGTCTCTCCTGCCGTCGTATTTAAGACCACCACCAAGGAATTATCGCTAGAGATTGCAATAGCCAATCCATCGGTCGTGGAGAGAGACTGTCTAGTGTTGAGTGTGTTGCTGACAACCCATTGAGTGGTATTACCACAATTATCGGAACCTGGAACAAGGGCACCGTGGGTGGCTGTTTAAATCGGAAACATTTAGAGGCGGTCCAACTGCACTACAAAGGGAAACACCGCGCATTTTACTTGTAGAGAGAAAAACGTCAGGGTAGAGATTATTGAACAGTTCACCGAGTGTGTCCAACGACCACTGTTGGGATGTATCAGTGGGGTCCATTGGTACCAACACCAAAACATAGGTCTGTAATGTGACAGGTGAGGTTCGAGACGATTTTGGACCAGGTTGAAACCAAACCAGCTTACTAGCAGAATTTCGCAACCTCGAGCGAAAAGCCGACGGAGAGGATTTCCAACAGGTTGAGCACTAATGGCCTGATCGTTGTTGCTACTAATTACAACATTCTGAACCACGATTTTCGGGGGAGGGACATTTGTATCGACAAAGACTCTAATGATAGAAGTTTCAGGTGCATTGTATATAACCAAGTTACTTGAAGCGCGGTCTACTCGCACCCGTTGTCGCAGACAAGTCCGGAGAGTTTGCTAGAGTCTCCATTGGGACTGCACCAACCTCTATATGGACCAGAGGTAACCTCGCAAGATGGGGCGTCACAAGCCCACCTGCGAGATTGAACAGATTCAGTATAATGCAAACCTCTACAACACAACATGACTAAGGCCTTACCCGTTGCAAGTCCACTGCCACCCCACGCGGTTAGTTTGACCAGTATGATACATCACACCAAAGTATGTAATGACACATACAGGTGTTGTAGGGGTAGGAGCTGCTGCGTCAGTAGTGGTGGGAGCAGCTGCTTTGGCAGTGGTGGCAGCAGCTGCTTCGGTAGCTGTGGCAGCAGCTGCTTCGGTAGTGGTAGGAGCTGCTGCTGAAATGGTAGGAGCTGCTGCGTCGATAGTGGTAGGAGCGGCTGCTGTAATGGTGGGAGCTGCTGCTTCGGTAGTGGTGGGAGCTGCTGCGTCGGTAGTGGTAGGAGCTGCTTCTGAAATGGTAGGAGCTGCTGCGTCGATAGTGGTAGGAGCAGCTGCTGTAATGGTGGGAGCTGCTGCGTCGGTAGTGGTAGGAGCACCTGCTGTAATGGTGGGAGCTGCTGCGTCGGTAGTGGTAGGAACTGCTGCTGAAATGGTAGGAGCTGCTGCTTCGGTAGTGGTGGGAGCTGCTGCGTCGCTAGTGGTGGGAGCAGCGGCTTCGGTAGTGGTAGGAGCAGCTGCTGTAATGGTGGGAGCAGCTGCTTCGGTAGGGGTGGGAGCAATTGTTACGGTAGTGGTGCTGGGGCTGCAGGGAGTATTATTGAGGAAGCAGTCAGCGAGATATGTAGCAAAAAAGCAATTTAAACTTTCTGAACTTACACCACGTTCATGTAGACGTTGGAGATGAATCCAGAACCACAGATCTCAGCTAAAAATTTACAGGGAAAACATTTTTGAGAAAAGCTGACAAACTGAAAATAAATCTAGGCGTCTCACCTGAGTTTCCAGCACATTCTTGATTGCATCCAGTTGACAGAATTTGCGCTTCTTGAAAGGAATTGTCACAGACTGTTGAGCAATAGACAGTGAGTTTGTATTTCTCTGCAATCACAGCTGCAAAATCAGTACTTACAGCAAGTGTCCGTTCCTTGAAGCCCAGCCAGAGAGTATTCATTCGTAGCACAAAAGTTTAAACAAGTTTCAACGGTCATGGAGTCAGAGCCGGTACGGAGAGCTCCCAGAAGGCGTATGTTATTATCTTGGACAGGTTCAGCCAAGCATCCATAATAGCTCCAGGTTGAATCAGGAGGAGGAGGAGTATAACAGGAATGTCCTAGCGCATCACTTCCACAAGAAGCAGAGACAGGGCAGACGGAACCATCTAGTGCATTGGTTTGAAATGACTCCACAAAAAAAACCGTGGCACACAAAAGAATTCACGTACCAGCACAGGTGTTGTAACCACTGTCAACCCGGTAGACATTGGAAATCCATCCTCCACCACAGACTTCACCTACAAGATTCAGTGATTTTGAATAATTATTTAGATAAAGAACAAAGACTCGCATGCTTTCTTACTTGTGTTCCCTGTACATGCTTCGTTGCATCCATTCGACAAAATTGTAGGTCCGTTAAAGGAATTCCCACAGACTGAAATAAGTTCGGTGAGATTTCATTGAAAACACAGCTGTAAAAGCACCACCTACAGCATGCGTACGTCCCCTGAACACCGGCTAGGGAGTATCCATTCGTGGCACAAATGTTGAGACAGACTTCAACCGTCATAGAGGTAGTAGAGTCGTAACGGAAACCATTGAGAAAGCGGACGTCATTAGCTTGAACTGGTTCAGCCAAGCATCCGACATAACTCCAGTGTGGTGCTGGAGGAGGAGTATAACAGGAATGTCCAAGAGCATCACTTCCACACGAAGCAGAGACAGGGCAGACGGAACCGTCTAAAGCGTCCAATACATAAGTACAAGAACTGACCACAAAAAGATGGCGAATATCGTACCGTTGCAATCTTGACCTGGACCACATGGTGATGGTTAGCAAGTGTGTTCATAATAATAAAGACTGTTGAAAATGAAAACAAACCTGGTGACAGCTTTTTAAGGGCATTGTTGATATAATCTCCTACATAGACATTTCCAGCTTCGTCAACAGCGACACCTATAGGATTAATGAATCCACTACCGAGAGTTTCTAAATTATCTCCAGATGGTGACATCTTTTTCATGGCATTGTTGAAACTATCTGCTACATAGATATTTCCGGCTTTGTCAACAGCGACAAAGTCAGGATGAGAAAATCCACTACCGAGGATTTTTATATTATTTCCAGATGGTGACATCGTTTTGACAGCGTCGTTGTAAGTATCTGCTACATAGATATTTCCGGCATTGTCAACAGCGACACCCAGAGGCCAGTGAAATCCACTACCGAGGATTTCTATATTATCTCCCGATGGTGACATCTTTTTGATAACACTGTTGTCTGTATCTGCTACATAGATATTTCCAGCAGCGTCAACTGCGACACCAAAAGGACGCGAAAATCCACTACCGAGGATTTCTATGTTATCTCCAGATGGTGACATCTTTTTGATGACATTGTTGTCTGTATCTGCTATATAGATATTTCCAGCAGCGTCAACTGCGACACCACAAGGATGATAAAATCCACTACCGAGGATGTTTATAGTATATCCAGATGGTGACATTTTTTTGATGACATTGTTCCAAGATTCTGTTACATAGATATTTCCAGCAGCGTCAACAGCGACACCTTGAGGACCGTTTAAACCACTACCGAGGGATGTTACGATGTAGGAGGCCCATGCCCTAGTTATTAAAGCGAGCAGAATCAAACTGACTATAGAACTGGCCCCTCTCATGATGAGTCGGTCGGGATTTTGGGTGGTTCAAGTAGTTTAAAACTCAAACTTTTGCGCTTTCACCACAGATATTGGTCAGATACCGAGAAATGAGAGCACCTGCTATTTTGGATTGGTTTCCTTGATAGGAGCTGGATTCTTTTATTCTTGATGCATCGCTGTATCTATCTATACCTACTGAACCTCTGAAGAGGCTCTGCCGCAGAGCCTCTGATGAAGAGGCTCAGACCACATCGGAGGCTCAGACCACATCGGTGTGGAGGCGACACTGGTCGGACTGGTTGTCACATCATTCCAGACATGACTTTTGTCAATGGACAGTCTTGCTCCAAGAAACTGGTTTACCCAAACAACCACTGGAAAATTGATTGCTGCTGCCACAGGAGCACCTATGGCGAACTTGATGCCTTTGAATACTCTTTGAACGTGCTTGGTGAAGCTCTACTCTTCGTCAAGTTGAATGTGCCACCAACACTGTATGTATCAATGGAGGCGGCCGTACTTTCAACTCAGACTGACAGAATTTAGCTAACTCAACACTATTGTCTTTCTATCAGCTTTCATCGGTTCCTCTTTTGATTGATTAGGCACCTAGTGAATTTACAACAAACTACAGCGTAAGTACATTCCGTGAAATTCCGGTTTTGGTTCTTTGACCTTGTTACCGTGGCCATCTGTCAAGATGTACTTATGAAATGAAAACTCATTTTATTATCACCAATAGCCCAACTATCACCAAAACTGCTGCTCCCGCACCATCACCAATCAACCTGTTCCCCATTCGATACTTTGATTTCATGTATTACCTGGACAGATGAACCAGTTGGGATGGGTCCGGTCATGTAACAGGTACGTGCTATGGTCTCTTTTGCTCTCATTTGTGGTTGGAATTCCACTATATCGTGCAATGCGTGCATGTTTGAAGTGTACAGGAGCAACAACACCTGAGTTCAATGACGAACCATCGCCAAATCCCTTGCAAGAATGTTCCTCGGGTAGTGCTTATTGTGCCCAAGCAACATCCAGGTAAGTAAACCGCCCAGCCAGATTCAACGGTCACGTTACGCCGACAATCGCCTTCAAGCCAGCTCTAGCGACGATTTGCATGCGCTGTGCACTCTTTTTGCCTTAAACGTGTGTCAAAGAACATGACTAGCGAATAAACGTAAATTCGACCTTGAATGCTCTGCTGATTTTAAGGTCTAAAGCAGGAAAAAATGGTCTTTTACCTAGGTACTCGTCTGGTTTTGCTCACAAAATCTAGGTCGAGTTGGCAATTGCGCAGTTGCATGTCCTTGTTCTAATTGACAGTCAATGAGACTCTAAAAGTCAATTCCATAGTGAAATTTATACGCTGTGTCCATTATAGTGTGCGAACATCACTTCATGCTGAGTAAATTGTGTTTGCGGCACTGTTCTTGACTTTCGAAAAAAAAACAGCCAGCAGCAAAACAATTTAGTCACAGCTGCATTGACCTACCCCTCCTTGTTTCAATTGTAAAATTAATTGATATCGTATAATATACTGTACACCATGCTATCAGTAGTCCGAGCGAATCTATTTAATCTTTCTGCAGCTGTTGAAGCGAAGCGAAAAAGCTGCCGCTACATTATCAGCTCGGTCTAGTATCGATGTAGTCCAACTTACCAATTGATTAAACATCACTCTATTATGGGACGTTCATGTGAGGAGTCTATAAAACAAAATTGGGACGGGACGAAAAAAGAATCAGGAGACGAAAATCTATTTTTAGCGTGGTCCGATTCATGCAGAAATAAAGGCCGAATCGGACCACTAAATCTATTTTAGAATTAAGAATTGAAAATCAGGGCCGAAATACATGTCACGGTACTTTCCATTCTTGTTTCTTCAAAACGCACTTTCATAGCAGCAATCAAGTGGTGAACAAGCACTGTCACAGTCTAGATAAGCTTCTAAATAACGTTTGGACGGTGCCACTACAGTGCCTTCACCAGCAATCGCTTGTCGAAACAACGCCCTTGTTGCAAATAAACAACTGGTAAGATTTTGAAACATCTCTAACATTTTGGTAAGCGTTTTTGGAACGGTTTCTAAGAGCTTATTTTGGTATTCGAAACTGCTTAAAAAGGGCCAATTCTCACATTAGTTCCTCGTTTCTCTAGCTCACTTGCTTGCTTGCAGGCGTCTGTGACACTCTGACGGAAAATCAACTGATACGCACACAAAAGGAGCAGGATGCACTTCATTGCACGCGCCTTATCTGTTTTCGCCTGTAATGTCTTTGTGACGGCAGGTACGAGCCTGAACTTACACAATGTTTCGAAGCACAATGTCGCCGAAACCCTCCCACTTTAATACGATTCTCACCAAGTCACTCTACACCTCATTCAATCTAGTCCTCGCCCAGACTGCCTACAATACACCAGATGGAGGGATGTCGACGTCTCTCGGCAATCCCTTTGCAAACACTCTGCAATATGTCAACCCAAGCTATGGAGCACTCGTCAACCAGTCCATTTCGCTACACTCGGACAATTCCACTCGTGTGGCTCTCTACCAGAAGGTCGCGACGTACCCAACGTTTGTATGGATACCTTCACTCGCTTCAATTTCAACCATATCTCGACATCTCAGCAATGCAGCCACTCAAGCAAACGGAATGCCAATTGTTGTTTCGTTTGTTATTTACAATATTCCTGGTAGGTGTTTCCAAGAGAAGGAAGACTATTGTGTGGTAAATTATAACTCACTTTTATTTCTTTCAAAGGTCGTGACTGCTCAGCTCTTGCCTCAGTCGGCCAAATCCCACCTGGCGCACTCGACCAATACAAGACCCAGTATATCGACCCCGTGTTTGCCCAACTGGCCCTGAAACAACCCAACATCAACCTCGTGCTAATCATTGAACCCGACGCACTCCCCAACCTCATTGCCAACAACTGTACCGCCTCAGCCACCTACCCTTCTGCAATTGCATACGCAGTTTCCAGATTCTCTGCACTACCCAACACATCTATCTACCTTGACGTTGGAAGTGGGGCGTGGTTGGGAGGCCAAGTCTTGACGCAGGGCAAAATCGCTCCTGTAATCCTCAGTGTAATGGTTTTGGCAACAGCTATCAATCCCAATGCTTCCATTCGAGGATTTAGTAGCAATTTGGCTAATTTTAACCCGTTTAATGGTAACGGTGCTTGTCCTGCAAAGCAGTATTGTCCATTGGTTAAGGGAGCCTATAACGGAAATAGAGGGATTGATGAGAATGTTTATACGTCGACATTGAATGTTGCTCTCGCTGCTGTTGGACTGCCTACTCGCTGGTTGGTTGATACAAGTCGTTCTGGTAAAGACCTCTAAACTTACGAATTTAATGGTTTTGAAATATTGCAACAAACTGATTTGGTTTGCATCTGATATTTAGGTCAAATCGGAGTTCGCACGTTCTTGGGCTCTTGTAAGTAAAATGCTCAAGCCGAAACGTTTTTTCATTTCCGTCCTTTTCATATCTCACACCACTCAAACTACCTAGGGTGCAACATCCAAGGCGCTGGACTCGGTGACCGTCCAACATCCAACCCAGCTTCCCAAGTGGATGCTTTCGTCTGGGTCAAACCTCCTGGCAACAGTGATGGTGCTAGTTCCGGAGCTGGTGTTGATCCTCACTGTGTTCCAACCAACCCTGTTGGTGCGCGATTTTGTACTTGTTCACAAGTTTATCGAACAGGACTAAGTGCGTTACTCGATTGTAGGTATTGATGCTTTAGGCGGAGCTCCGGCTGCCGGTGCTTGGTTTGACGGACACTTTGCCATGTTGACGGATAATGCGTCTCCGCCGGTTTCGGTTACGGTGTCTAGGTTATCGGCTAGATCTGCTCGCTCTAAAGCAGTCATTGAAGCTCGTCAAGCTTGATCTCTAGAACATGTTAGTTGCCTCATTTTTTAAAAGTAATTCTAGAATGTCTCATCAACCATTTTTCGTAAACTTGATAACTTCTAAATCAAACCGTCTGTTTTAGCCTGCCTCCTGTAAATGCTGTGCTTTTGTTTTCTTCTTCTGAAATTTAAATCTGTGTCTGAATAATCGCATCTGTGCCTGTAATTCTATGTCGAAAATATTGCAATCTGTATTCTCATTTTAGTACGTCAGCTCATTCAGAAACTCGATACCTTTCAAGTTTGAAGATTTTACGATTGCTTTTACCATTGCTACTGTGTCGCTTTGTATGTACCCAAGTGGGCTTTTCGTGACAGTATCAAGTCCACTCGTCTACGTCCAACTGGTGACGTGTTGATACATTACTTACTGAGTGGCAAGTCAAAGACACCATATCCAACTTCTAGGCTGTGCTTTCAGCACGCTACTCTGGCATTGCAACCATTGGAAGAATTCATCCCTTCTCGAGCAATACCAAAATCTCAACATGAAAATCAACCTGCCGCTATTGCTGCTGGTGGTGGTGAAAGTGGGCCATCCCAAACTTATCTGGAACATGGTCGTATTTGTAGTACTATCGATGATGAAACGTGTCTCGTTAGGCCCTATCTGGAAACTTCAACAGCTTTTTGCCAACACGTTGGGAAACAACCCAAGGATATTGTCTTATTACTTCTCACACGTCCTTCAGGAGGCTAAATCATCCGGGATGGGTATCCATAGGCACCACAATCTTGGAGACTCAACATCCACGATTTTTGCTTTTTGAGTTGTGCTAGCGAGAATTTTCCTTTATCGATCGCAATAGTCTCTCCATCAGGTCTTGGTAGATATATTCCCATTTGTTATCCTGTAAAGGACACGGTGCGTATGAGTGTGTTTTTGGGAGTTGGTGTTGTATTTGCAGTGGAGAGAACGTTTAAGGTCTGTTGTAATTGAGTCTGCTCTTATCGGCAATCTTAATTGTTAGGTCATGATCGAGGACGAGACTCCTATTCTGTTTCATTATTGCTTGTTGTGATCTTTTTCTACTTCTTTGAATGCAATAATCTTCAACTTCAATTTTTCAATCACAAGTTGCATGATGGTCCTATTGAAATATCTGCTGATTTTCAAGAATATTCTCATCCTTCGCGAAGAAAAGTGGAGCCTCCAATGACCGGTTTGACTTTGAAATTGCGGATCACATCGCCACATCCAGGTGAAAATATCTCCGATCACAAGAAACACCCCCCCGAAAATTGGTCTAGGCTGGGTCAAACAGCAACTGAAAAACTCTATTAGTCTCTCTTGTAACGCTTCTTGAAAAGTGACGTATTCAATCTCGACCGTTTGAATCTGAAGGAGACAATGGACGATTTCTCACAATTCACATACACCTACCAGCATTGGCAACCGCTCGTAACTTTCTTCCTAATAGTGCAAATCTCAGCCATAATAGTCAACACCCTCCTCATTGCCGCTCTGGTATCCGACAGAACATCGCTATTCCGTTCTCGAAACCTGTTTTATTTGAATGTGGCTGTTTGTCAAGCTGTATACCAATGGTCTGAACTGCTTTTATCTATTGTCACGCTACATAATCGGTCATATGTGGGGACGGTTGATTCCGTTGCTCTTTGTGTTGCTGATGCCATGTTGATTGATGCGGTGCAGGCTTGTACTAGTAAGGGTGATTTGTTGGTTTATTGAACCAGGAATTGATTCTGATGACTTTGCTGGTTTCTAGTTCTTACATTTGTGTTTATCGCTCTGGATCGATACTGGGTCGTGTGTCGCAACTACACGATGAGTGATGGGCGAATCGGGCTTGGAGTCTTGGCGTCTTGGGGAATGGCACTTATTTCCGGATTAGCAATGTGTGAGCTACTTCAACCATACTTGAACCGTACATCATCCTTGTGATTGTGCCTTGTGTTTTCGCTCAACGGTTTTTAACACCACCACCCACCAGACTTTAACGGATCCACGGAATGGGTAGACCCTCCCTTCTTTTGCTTTTCACCTTGGGAGTCTCGAGATCCCAAGCTAGTCGTCGAGTCCGTGACACAAGTGGGGTTCATGATCTGGGGTGTCTCTCAAACGATATATTGCTACATATCTGTAATCAAGTACATTAATCAGACAAAAAATAACTTGGAGAGAGTAAGGCGAGAGCATGATAGTCAGTGGAACAAGGAGGGTCAACTAGAGAGCAATACAACTGGAACGGGAGTTGGGAAGATGTCAAGTGAGAATGGCGGATCACGGCTAGGTCAAGTTAGTACCAGAAAGAGTTTCATGTCGAGGGCGTCTCGGAACGCTGATCCTGAAGTTGTACTGTGTCGGTATGTTCGTTAAAGAGTTTAGCCTTGTAGCGCCTCTAACATTCTTCATGTTCACAAACAGCAAGTTTATTGTCTTGACGGCCGTATCATTCACTGTTGGAACGCCACTAGCTGTATGGATGTTATATGAATTGATATCCGGACAGAAGATGCCAGCAGAGTATGGAGCAATGGCAACGACTTTTAGTGTCCTTCAGCCGTTTTTGGACAGTAAGATATTTGACAGCCAACCTCAGTGCATTGCTCCAGGTTCACCAACTCAGACTTTGTTTTAGGCAGCCTGATAATATACATGAACGTACCGATAAAAGTCAAGATCCTATCATGGTTTGGAATCCAGAATACAAAACCAGCAACAGATACTGCTAATGGAAATCATTCAACGAGGAATGCCCAGCATGCTAGTCACAGTATTGTGGCATCTGCCTTTGTCATAGAGGAACACGAGAGGAGTCAAGCTATATGAGTTTTGATGAAATGTACAACCAAATAGGAAATCTAATGACGATTCGTGGTTCTCTTTTCTTCTCTGAGCAACAGCCGCATGCATTTTCCTTCTTAAGAGCCTACTAGAGTGATTTTGTTTATATTCACCTCTAACAGAAGATAGCATACTTTCTCTTTAATAAATCGTATCCTTTCAAGGTTACCAGCAGTTTTGGGAGTTTGTATAAATGGACAGGTTTCAAAATTAGCAAACTGTTTGAGTCGAAATCGTCTGCGCAACAGAACAAGGGGTGCATTGATCAGATATTAAGTGTTCGTGTTAAATAGAGTATGTTAATTACTGTGCCGTACAAGAAAAATGTGCATGTCCAACCAAATTAGAGCTAGCTACATAGTAACTTAAGTTAGCTACTTAAGTAACCTTAACCACAAGGACGTCTAATAACAGGCCTGGAGCTCGCCACATAATAAAAACCATCCATAAATGTCCAGCGATTCCACCTGCGACAGCAACATTATTAAGCGTGTTATGAGATAGGCGACATTATTGAGCCTGTTATAAGATAGGTGATGAGGGTGTTAGACAAACAAAGGTTAGACAACAAAAGACAACCAACGCACGCCATGACTATATACTCACTGTGAGCTCAATCGGAAGCTTTGATGACAATGAAGGACTGTTAGCATTAGTGCGCTCGACAATCTGTCCAAACTGGCAACATGTGTTCGTGAGCCAAGTTCAAGGATCGTCCTATTCAAACTTATATGCCATTCTGCCTACCGTAGCATATAGTGCAAGACAGTCAATAAGGTGTGAATCGCGTCAAATAGTCATCGTGCTAACACGAGAAACAGATATCAGGATCACCGTACCATTCCGAGCGTGCTTCACAGGTTTGCAATAAGGCCACCAAAAGCTCAGAATTTGCCAATATCGATGTAAATAGCAGCTGTATCCCGGCGCGTTGATGAGGTCAAATATGAGTGACAGACAGATACATTAATTGGGGAAAGAGACAGAGAGAGCGAGAGAGAGGGAAGGCTTCAATGCATTATGAGGCTGGTATTTAACAAAGTGATTGGTTGACGGTTCCGCTAAACTTCCTAACAAGGCTCTGACCCGAACCTCCGAACTCCCTTCTTTCAATGCTATACATTTCCTCGATCGGATCATCAGAATTCTCGACTTGCTCACAAGCCCAAAATAACCATACGAATGACCCATTCGCCATATCTGAGAGTCCGTTACTCAGAGCCGACACATTGTCTGGTTGCAAATAAGGCGAGAGCACTTTCATTCGGGAGGCAGCATATAGTTTTATATCAGTGAGGTTTTCTTCGCTTGTCAGAGACAGTGTGCGGGGGGTATAGTTTGGCAGTTGGTTGTGGATATCGGGGACTGCTCGGCTTGTGAGGAGGAATAGTATGTTCGACGGCAGGTTGGCAAACTGTTTAGATATAACTAGTAGGAATTCGTCTCCAACTGTGGATCCGTCAGGACCGCATTCGTCGAGAGCATCTAATACGATGACGGCTTTTTTACCACGGTAATGGGAGAGCGGTTTGACTAAAGAGTAGGACGAAACGGATACATGTAAAGCGTTAAACAAGCGTCTGAAGGGCAACAAGCAACTACAAAACAGGGAGTTACCTATGAGCGCTTCAAATTGAGCTCCAATCGATAATGTGTCTTGCAAGAAGTTTGGGTTGGCAATGAGCAATTCCTTCAACGACCTCCTAACATCCGAATCAAACACTGCTAACTGATAGGCCCATGTAGCAATAATACGAAATGGATAACGCTCATCCATGTCATCACGTTTACAAAAGAAATGTGCTGCGAGTTGATTGCTGCGAGAAAGCTCGTCTGCAAAAGAACCAGCCACGATAGATTTCCCTGTTCCTGCGACACCAGTCAGCCAGTATAATTGTGTATCCGGTTTTGCCACCCACGCATGCAATTCGGCGAGCAGCCAGCCTCGTGTAGACCTTAGTCGTTTATCTTTTAGTTGAAACAAAGCGAGTCTCATGTCGATGGGCTTCAGGCATTGATGGAGTTCTGGTAAAGTGTTATCTGGCAGCACTGAAGGAGGAGGCCGGGGATGATGGGTGTTGCTGAGCCATACATCCTTGTGATTTACAAGAGGTGTGTTTGAGCCAAGGAAGGTTAAAAGATTCATGGGCACCATTCCAGACATCTTT